TAGGCGATAAAAACACCTGTACCAATGGCTTGGGACGTGTCCACCACAGGGACTCTGGACACAGGCGTGAGCTGGCAAAAGAGCTGCAGTGTGAGGTCAGTGGTGGACACGGAGGTAAAGCCCTTCAGCAACAGCTGCTGAAGCCCAGTGAAGCTGCTCCACTTCAGCTGGCTCTGCAGCTTCTCCAGCCGCTCCCTGTTCTCCGGTTTGTCCAGCGACATGTTTGCCATCAACTTATTCATCAGCCTTAAAGACATCTGATACTCAAACTCAAAGTCTGACTCCATGAGTGACACCGCCACCCAGAAGATGGTGGCTAGCAGGTTGCTGGGGTGGTTGATGCTCAGCGGGTCGGTGACGTTGTCCTTTGAGAAGGATGAACTGCTCATCTTGGCTAAGAGAGCCTGCTGCTCACAGGCTTGGATACGATCCAGTGTGGCACTGCGGGGTGGATCTGAACACCGGTCAGCTTCTCCAAACTTTTTGGGGACAGAAGAGCTCCTGTGATGCCTGCTCTTCTCCTCTCTTCTCAGGCCCAGTTGCCCTGTGCTCTTCCTGTTGGACTGCTGCTTGAAACTGGTGAGGAAATTTGGAGATGCGGCTCTGTAACAAGACGGCATCCAAGTTCATTTCTGTTCCAACTAGATATTGTTAAAAAAAAGAACAAAAGGCACAAACCTTGTTAAGAATACCATGAGATCGTTGTTCTTCAAACACTCAGCCAAGTTGTCCACCACAGATTCCAGAGTGAGTAACACTTCCATCACATAGCCCTGAAGACAAGAGCAAACACTTTATTTATGTTGCAAGAATTTATTTGCTGTAAAAAAAATAAAAAAAACTTTAAAAAGTGATCACTGTTATTCTTTTCCTTTTCGAGGTTCATTTGCTGTAGAAAATAAAAAGATCCGATGTTGCAGGAAGTTTTTTTTAATTTATTTTAATTCTCATTATTTTTGGCCTTCCCGCTTAACTGTGCAGCAGCTTCTGTCTAATGGGATCATGTCCCCTAAAAACTCTGGACTTATTTTAATACAAAGTATTTGACTTTTGCGTTATTTTCTTTATCTTTTTAATGCAACCTGCTTACTGATAGCATTATTTTATGATTTAATAAACTATTAATATAAATTTGATACATTCTCCTTTTAAGATTGCATTAAACAAAGTATTGAAGCAATTTTTGGTAGACTTAAAAAAAAAATTCTAATTTTACTGCTGCAAGGATGAGCTTATTTTAATTTCTCATATAATACTTAAATCATTTTTCTCAAAGTTTTAATGGCTGGGTTTATAAAAATATACCAGTTCATGTGTTATTTTTTATTTGGACATAAGCATAATATACTCTCAAAACACACAGAAACACCCATAAATGCACAAACCCAAACATGTATTATACGTGCACACATTTATATTTTACCATTTTTATTTGTGAACAGATATCGTCATTCTATTTTTATAAAAACTTTTGTCAACAGTAAATGTTTGTCAGTGATCTTTGGACGCCATTGAACACCGATCTGTTATTTATGAATATTCATTCACACAGTTTTGAATTAAATCTATTAATTTTAAAACACATGCGATGCTTTAAAAAACAGTTTGTCACACAGAAACACGCATCATGCAAACACACACGCACACACAAAGATGTGCACACTCACGTTCTTGGACAAGATGTCGATCTCTTGGTTTTTATTTGGTGCAAGAGTCTTTAACATGTAAAAAAACCCAATGAGAAGTTCTCATTCCCCTCTTTTGTATATTTATTTATTTTTTACTTATATAGTGTACATTATATAAATACTAAAAACAATTGGGAAAAAATGCACTTCAAATTTATAAATCAAATATAATTTGTCAAAGGAGCTAAAGAAAGCAACATTTTGTTGTCTAGTGTTAGCTCAAACTAAATAAGGCACATTAAATCAGTACAAAGTCTATTGTTACACAGTTTAATTATTGTTTCTCTGCTTCACCAGCAATTCTGAACATGTTTGTCCATTTCTAAAATCCCATTAGCAGTAATAAAGATGAGATAAAATGTATTCCTATAAAGTGCCCTTAAAGAGATGTGCTCGGACTGACCTGCACTTCTTCTCCGTGTTCTCCGATAACTTCCACCAGCCTTGACAGGAGGTCGGACACAGCATGCGCAGAAATCGGCTGATGAAGAGCTCGGAACAGCTGGAAGGAGCGACCGGCGTAGTGGCGAGATGAGCTGCACAAGGCCGTCTGCAGAGCCACCTCGCTGAGCTGCTGCTCCAGATGGAAATCTGAGCAGGTCAGAGACGAGGAGTCGGGCAAGATGAGGCTCTGTTGTAGAATTAATCACTGACGTATAAAATCTCAAGGGTTACCTGACTTGGACTCTTTAAACACAGAAATCACATGTCGCAGGAAGTTCGTCAACTGTTCGGTGCTTTTTGAGATTTGGTTCTTTGGTGAAATGTCTTCGTGGCACCACAGCGGTCCATATGGTCTATAAAATATTTTAGTCCATATCATTTCAGGAATAATAGTACTTTTTCAAAGTTAGAAAAGTTAGTTGAGTATTGTGTTGTACTTCCTTTTAACTGTTTGGTTCAGTATACAAACTCAGTGATGCACATAAAACACACTTTTCTGCATTTCTGCATTTTCTGCATTATATTTATGTGTCTGAAGCCTAGTAAAACTTTAAAAATCAGAAAAAAACAAGTACAACATTAACAAAATACTAACCGGCAGCTCAGAGTTTATGCAGCGAATTTGTGACAACAGTAAATCAACACAACTGGTGTTTATGTGGAGTCTGAATGGAAATGCCAGTTAAGTTATCACTTTGGTGTGTGTTTGTGTAAGCTCTGAGGATTTGTGCTCTTTAATATGATACTGATGTGCTTCAAGGGTTGCTGCGTCCTTTTAATTCAACAGAAGACATTTTAGATGGAGAGGCACGTCATGTGCATCATATTAATATCAAACAAACTGGAAACTGGGATTTTTAGTAGGTACAGTTAATCATAATATTGCCTGTGGCGTCCTAATTTAAAGATGAAATTGATCAAGTCATGTAAAAGTAAATTACACTACATGTGCAGCACCACTAGGTGGAAACATGCACCAAGAGAAACATCAATTCATCTAAACGCAGTTTCCGATTGTGATTGATAAAATCTCAGATCAGCATAATTCACATTGGTTTAGTAAAATACATAAAGGAAGTAAGCATCACTGTTGTTACCTTGTAACTAAAAACTCAATGAGCTTGTTTGCCTTTTCATTTATGTTTGTGGGGTCCACAAACTCCTCCATCTCCTGTGTGATCTCAGGCAAGTTGTTGCTGCTCCCCCCCAGGCTCAGACTGGACGATGTCGATGAAGAGCTGAGCCCAGAGTCTGGAACCGGAGACGCCTGACACTCCCGCAGGAAGTCAAAGCTCCCTGAGCGCAACAGAGAAACAAGCAACTGATCACTAACTGGTTGCACTCAATTATTTTATGCTTCCCAGCAGCTGAAGATGGAAGTTAAGAGTTAGAAGAAAACTGAGCAACATGAAAATAAATCCAACAAGTCTATAAAAGTGTTAACTGCAAACACTTAGATGAAACTGTTGAATTCCACTGCTGCAACTGTGTCACGGCACAATTTATCACTTTCTTGTTAATGAGCTGAAGCAAGTACCACTTTAACACAGTGTCTAGACATTTTCAAAACAATTCGTCAGTAGTGGGAGGGTTGATCCGGTTGGGTAAACCAGATTATTGTGGCCTGAGCAGATGGCCCCAATTTAGGCATGAGGACAAAAATAGCAGGATGGAATGCTTTAATCAAGTCCTTTGATATCCACTGCACCCGGTACTGCGCTTGGCACACAGTCCAAATATTTTCTACCCTGATAAGACACTTATCTCTTGTTTTTAGGGGAACGCTAGCTATCCCATAATGATGCTCAAGTTTATTTTGGCCAAGAAGAAGAGCTGTGTTCCAAAAATGCCAACCTTCACAACTCTCGTTCAGTTGTTCAAGAAAGAACAAATTGAATCCACCGTATTTTTTTACCAGTAGGTGAACTTTCCGGGTTTGGCTTGCAGGTGAGAGTCTTAGCTCCATGGACTTCCTGTGTCTGCAGTAAAACGGATGCGATGGCCTGAAAGTTGTTGTTACAGATCAACGTGATGAGCAGGTGGAGGAGGAGACGTTTGCTGTGCTCAAACACTTCTGGGCGGTAGTGATCCATACCTGGAACGTAAGCATGAGTACATCAGTTGTTTTACGGCACAACCAAAGAAATAACTATAGATGACAGATCATAATTGATTTCTTCAAGTGACTTCACCCAAAAATAGAGCGTGGAGCAGTAAAGGCAGGTGCAGGGTCCAGTCCTCTCTCACACTGTGGTCAACCACCATCTCAGTCATGAAGATCACTGCAATGTTACACCTATGGAAAACAAATAAAACACACTATAAATACTTTATTTAATAAAACACATTTGTCAAGAAACAATCCCAAGAAGGGACCATCTCAAAAGGTTTTAGATGCTACAGTCTGACCTGTGTAGTGGTCCTCTGGGAGTGGTGGTTTCTGGTAAAAAGTCCACCAGAGGAGCCCAGCATCCTCCACTGAGAGGCATGGGCAGAGGGTGTGGCTTGTTGGTCTCAATTACAGCCGTCAGCCAGTCAGCGTAGGGAGGCATAGGTTCACCTGAGTGGTCACAGAGCAATATCTTAAAAAATCTCCGTGACTAATACGAGGCATAAGAGAAAATTTGAGAGTTTTATTTTAATTGATGGAACAGCGATGCATTGGTTGGAGCTGTCGCCTCTCAGCGAGAAGGTCGCAGGATCGCCTCCTGACCTGGGACTTTTCTGGGAGGAGTTTGCATGTTCTCCCGGTGCATGTGTGGGTTTTCACAGACAAAAACATGCATGTAAGGTTAATTGGTAACTACATTTTACCTAGCTGTGTGTGAGAGTGTGAGTGGTTGTTCGTCTCGTTTGTCTCGATGTGTCCCTGTGATGGACTAACAGCTTGTCCAGGGTGTATCCTCTTTCTTGCACAGTGACTGCTGGAGACAGGCATCAGCTTCCCGTGAACCAGAAAGGAAATGTGAATACAGTAGTCCCTCGCTACTTCACGGTTCGTCTTTTGTGGACTCGCTCTTTTGCGGTTTTTCAAAGTAAGATTGTACATGAGAAAAAAATAAATAAATAAAAAATGTACACGACACGTGATTGTCAACTTTAATATTACCCACGTGATTGGGACAGTATGGGACAGTACAGTAAAATGTTAACAAAAAATACTTTGGACAGGCGCTGACATGTTGTAGTTTTCTCTCAATAAACCTATACTGTATCCTCGCTCATAATGACTACATTTACCAGAGGACAACAATGCCCCACCCAGAAGCCCCGTTGCCTTCTGCTGAAATACTAGAGGAAAAGTTTTGATCTGATCCGAAAAAGTTTGGTCCTTATTCATACAGTGATTTTGGCGCCCAGTGGATGCAGAGAGCTGCACGGAACCCACCAGGAACCGGACCAGAACCGGACCTCCAGACTCATCGGTGAATCTTTCTGCACCCTTTTCATTCAATGTTTTTTTCTTTTTAATTAATTTGTTTTGTTTCTTTTGTTTCTTTTAAATTAATGAATAAATTAAAATGAAATAAATAAATAAATAAAATACAATAAAATAATCTGAGTGCTGCCCACCGGCCCACGAGGCCTTTCGAGCAGGGAGGCACCGCCCAGAGGTCCGGCGTTCTCTGTGGAGTCCACCGGGACTTCCCCCATCCAGATTTGGACTTGATCTCGACCACCGTTTGGTCCCATGCTGGCCATCTGAAGGTTCGGCTCCCTCCAAAAGTGTTTAGGTGCTCAAGGGCTGCAGAGAGCCATCCAGAACCGGACCAGAACTGGCAGGGTAGGTCCAGCAAGGTAGGTCTGCTGGACCGGAACCGAGCCACTGCTTCTGCAGAGCTGGTGAGTAAAATTTGCAGTACTGTGCATTACATATACATATCTTGTTAAAATTTTGTAGGTTTAAGAGTTTAGAACATTGCAAGAGTGTGGGAAGGGTTTATAAAGCCTTAAAATACAGAATATATAAATACTAAAATAAATATAACGTCTCTACTTCAGGGATTTTCACTTATTGTGAGGGGATTCGGAACGTAAACACTGCGATAAACAAGGGACTACTGTAAAAGAAAATGGGTGGATGGATCGATACAGATAACTTTGATTTACATGAAAACTATAAAACTCAGTCAAGTTGCTTTTTGGGTCACAAGTTGTGGTGCTGAAATTCTGAACTTTACTACCCAAGTTACAAAGACATTCCTCACAGAAGCCCTTTAAACACCAAAGGCCATTCTGCGCACTGCTCATGCATTATCAGTGACACTGTCCTGGTTACCGCCTCACCCTCCAAGCCAAGATTGCATATTTAACAACACTCACCAAATTATGACACCTGCCCCATTTTTTAGTGTTTCATACAAATACTCACTTTTATCTTCATCATAGGACCCTCCTGAACTGCTACTGTATCGGGACTCCAGACGGTTGTGTGCTCTCATATGACCGAGTCTGAGATGAGAAAATCACATATGTTGTCACGAGCCTTTTGCAGTTATTCAGAATCTGAGATTAAAGCCATGATTGCATCCTTTACCTCTCCTCATTCTCTTTATTGGTCTTTGCATCATCTGTGTCTGTAAAGCTTTCCTGGCCTGCGACAACAGTGTTGCTGCTTGATGTAGTTCCTAGAAATAAACCGAAATCCTCTAAATCACTTGCAACATGTTAAAGTAAAAAATACAGTGAGCAAGTCTTACAGTAGAAGCTACATCCATATTACAGCAGTCACAAGTGGCCTATCTGTGACGGTTTCTGAAGAAAGCTTTAAAAAAAAGTACCTGAAGCTGCTGCAGAGGCTTTGCTTGTGGCAGTGAAGCGGTAGAAAGGAGGGCTGTCACAGTGTTGCACCACAGGGTTGACTGGGTCCATTTGCTGCAACTCAAATAGCAACTCCTCCATGGTTTGTATCGTGTTATTTCGACAGAGATAGATCACCACTTTCTTGATCTAAAATAAAAGATCGTGAAAACGTGTTAAGAAGAAGAAGGAAACAGTTCTAGCAGGCTTTAATCTCGTAATCTCTCTTACATATGGGAGGAGGGTGGTGTCACTGCTGACGCCACATAAACTGATAAAGAACTGCAGCATGGTTCTCAAGTTGTTGCTCCAGTTTTCATTGCTGACTAGAGCATTCCAGGCGTTTTCCATCTCATATCCCGGCAGATCATCTCCATACTAAAAAGGCACATTAGCCGCTTTATCCACAGGTCATACCATCACTTTGCCATTTTAACCAATAAACATGGCCATACCTTAGCCGTCATGAACATGAGGTTATTGAGAACCATTGATGTGGCTTGTAAGGATCCCCAGCCAGCACCCTTCAGTGGATGAGATGAGTCTGGGCTGGTCAGCTGGCACGAGGAGTCGTAGCTTGCGGTGGACGGAGTGAAGACTGGAAGTAACAAGCCGCTATCCACTAGCTCTATGTTACTGAGCCAGGGCAAGAGGTATGTTAGCATGATCTGCCTCCCGTTTGAATGGGTGGTGGGGAACCTCTGGCTGACCTCTGGAACAACAAAAGTGACTCACATTAAAGTTGCACCAGAGTTGATCTGCACTATTTATCATTTGGATAATACTTAAACATGGAATACACCTTATGAGCGTTATTTACACTGACATTAACATGAGGTATCTTAAGGCATTTATTTTTGTTGCAGTTTGGTGAAATGAACATGAATAAAAAAAAAATATTTTCAGAAGTGGAAGATGAGCAAACATTTTTAACGAGAAGCCAAGAGAATATGTCTCATGAAAATATTACAGCAGAAAAACAAAACGCTGAAATGCAAAAAAATTTAATGGACTAACCGTCCAACATCCACAAAGATACTACAGCGTCAGCTACCTGAGAACAGAGGAAGTGTGAGTTCAGGGTACATCCTGGCCAGCTGACTGGAGAGCTGAGGCAGCGAGACATTGTAAAGGGGTGGCAGAGGCCCATGGGTGCCATGTAGGACACTGCTTGGCTTTACCTCTGCCATCTTCTCAGAGTACAGGGACAACTTCACTTCAAGGATCTGTTTCAAAGAAAAGGAATGACAGATTCACTGTAATCTCTGATTAATATGCACGTTGGCAAAATTTACAAGCAACAATTTTAAACCAGATGATTTTTAAGTTGGTATTTGTAGTTTGATTGATAATCAAGCTTGACTGTGGAAAAAAACTCAAAACCTCTGTGCCTGATGATGATAACGTCTTACACATGAAACAGGAAGTAACAAAATACACTCAATATCAATCATCAGATCATACCTGATAGATTATCAGATATGTGCACTCCTATAAATCAGCAACTCAACTGCGTCTTACCTGCATTAGTTGCATTGAAATCTCGTAGATTTCCCTGCTGGTGCTTGATGCTTTGAAGAGCACCAGATTCAGCAACGTCACAATGTCACATGGGTAGTTTTTGCTGGTAAAGACAAAATAAAAAAATAATGAAAGTGTCTATTTCTTAACACGTTTAAGGCCGTTTTTGACAGTTAGACCGTAATATAAAACGAGTCCTGATAGATAATTAAAAATAATAACATATGGAGACTTAAGCTAAGTTGCCAGTGATTTCCTCATGTGGACGAGCAATTTTAGATGATCTAAGGAAGTAAAACAGAGATTGTGACAGACTGTACCTGCTGCCAAAGACCGTAGCGATGGCTTTGAAGCAGCCTGAGGCGAGCTGGTAGGAGCCTGTGTAGCAGCGATCCACAGCCCAGTTGATTAGATTAACCTGGTCAGCATTAAGCTCCAGCAGCAGGATGACGACTTCACAGCCAAGCTCATGAACCTGCAGAGGCAAAAACCACACATTCTTTTAAAATCATCTTTCTACTGAAGCTGTAAACTGTTAGATTTACAACAATAATGCTTGTTTACTACAGATTCTGGTGCGTTGGCAACATGCCTAATTAATGCTTCTGTTCAGGTTACACATTGGATTTCTTTGCTGAAGAATGTGAATTGCATAAGAATGTATTAGTTGGTCTATTAGTAATGCTGCACAGTAGAGACAATAGACAGGTTTAATAATTACAAAAGTACCCTTTACTTGCCAGCACTTCTGTGTGATAAAGAGAAATTGGCAAAAACTACATCAGATCTTTTCAAAAGCAGACTTGAGCATGCTATCACATGCACTACAGTGCTAAAAGACTGGATACAGACCCGCTGATCCTGGCAGGCTAAAATATTGTCCAGCCACTTGTACAGGTATCCATCTTGAGAAAGGCCCACGTTATCGAAGACAGACCCACAGCACAGCACGGCAGACATGGCCTGGAAAACAAACAGCAGTCATTTATTCACATCTGTGTGGCTTTTGTTACAACGACAAGACGTATCGACTGTTCACCAAGCCATAAATATAGATGCAAATTTATTGCCTGCTGCTGAAGGTGGTGAAGGTGGAGTGAGAATGTTTGTTGCTTGGGTTTGTGTTTGTGTGCACACGTGCTTGCATGTCTGTTAGCAAAACGTCTCTTGAGCTACTAGATGGATTTTATTAAAACTTGCAGAAAGTAAACTTTTGATGTACATCTACAGCTGATTAGCTTTACGATGCAGTTCAGCTCAAGATGGCTGCCTCAGCCAGTCCACTACCATAAAAATGTCTGTACTTTAGTCAGTTTGAAAGACATTTAGCACAAATTTGACGTGGTTCTAGTTGAGAGTCATTTACAACAATATGACATTTTGCAACATCGCATAAGATTGTTCTTTATGCCATTTCAAAAAATTTGACCAAAATGGCTACACCACCATTGTTCATCATGAAGGATCAGATGATATTATTTCAAAACTCTGACATGAACCGCTGTAGATGATTTGCTTTCCTTCAAAGAATGCAAGGCCTTTAATTCCTTTTTCAGATATCAACAAAGCATCGTTTAATCCCTAAAGTGTCCATGAGACAACACCGTGAACATTTTTACTCTCAGTAACCCCGAACACAGGATTCAGAAGGCGCTGTATCCTTACCTTTAGTGCACAATACTGATATCTTGTGATCTGGTGATGTCTGTCACTGTAGCGATCCAAGGAGGTGAACATGACGCTGAAAGGACCTGCCCATTGGCTGAAGAGGATGAAAAGATGATGCCGAAGACTCTGCTGTGGGAACAGGAAGCGCCTGTGGTGCACTACACAATGAAACAAAGCAAAGCTGGTTTTAGTTTGTACATTAAGTTGCAGAATCAGCATAACTATCCAGGCATCTTAACTAATTACTAAAATTGGAACATGTACAATGATATTAAGATAAAAGTGTCTATTTATATGATATTAGATTTTCAATGGGGACCTCGGAAACATGAGTTATCACCAGCACCTGCTCTGTCCTTACACTGTACTATTTTTATCTACTCTGAACAGGCAACGTTCAGATCAAGCTCAGTGCCTCGACTCCAGAGCTGCGTGTGTTTCAGTCTGGGAGCATTTAAATGACAAGAAGAGGCTCCAAAGTCGAGCCAATGGTTGACATACCTGGTACACATTGGATAAAGTTGGCCACCATGGCACTAAAGTGAGCTCGGATGTCTTTAAGGATCTCGGTGTCTTTATCATTTTCAGCTTCCAGGTGCATTCGAGTCAGATCCACATATTCCAAGAACAGAGCGCCAAGGGCAAGGGTGTCACGTTCCAGAGCTCCGTTTGTACTGCAGGGCGACAAAATAAACACGAAGCATTCAGTGACGAGAAATTACAAACAGCTCATCAAGCAGATATAAAGTTATAAAGACGTGACAACCCAGGTTTGGGATTGAGTTTCAGTTATTCCTACGCTTGCCTGTCACTGATGACACCGGCGTCAGCCAAAAGCTCAAAGATCCGCAGCAGCTGCAGCCGGAGCAGGTCTCGTCGCTCACGCCGCTTCTTGTTCTGCAAAACGTTATGAAAAAAAACAAGCTTTTTTATTCAAGTCCAAAAAACGTTCTGCCAAGGGGTCTGTTTTTGGCTTTTATCCATTGAGCTTTAAACGAACTAACCTCAGGTCGTCTCTCTAACGCCTCTTTCATTAGGGGATGCAACTCCTCCACAAGCTCCCTGTGTGCAGACAATAAAGAGATTTAGTTTGCTTTAACTTTAAAGTAAATACACATTATATGTATTTGTATATATATATATATATATATATATATATATATATATATATATATAT